GCTTGTTTTACAACGTCGTTGCCAAGCGACGAAAACCCAACCCCGATGGCAAACACCGGGGGAGGGGGCAGCATGGGGGAGGCTGAACTATCCTTCGGATCAAAGACAGAAACAGCAGCAAGAAACAGAAGAAAACTGCGCGTGTCTACCAAGGCTAGCTAGCTACTGCCTTGTGTTCGTTTTGGAGTACTTTCACCATTATCCTCCTTGTGTTCGCTACCATCATTCTGATCCTCATTTTCACAAGAATCTCTGGGCAGCTCTTCCCTAGTCCTATGCATTACGTTTTTTCTTTTGGGGAAGGTCATCTGGCTCAAACCCTTTGCTCTCTTCCACTCCTCCATGTTTTCCTCCTCCATCGTCGTCTTCGTCCTCCTTTCTTCCCTTTTTCTTTCCTTCGTCTCCGTCACTCCCAAAAGAATCACCTTCATTACTATCGTTGTCGCAGAGATCCCAACCGATTGACCCTGTGGTGGAAGTTGGTCGATCAGTAGCCCGTGACGTTTGAACACATCGCGAGTTCGCATGGACGGAAAACGAGCTAGCTCGAAGGTAAACCGTCTCCGAATCCTGTAAGTATGAAAAGCTTTCAGGCGGACTAACGCTCTTTCGTCGTCAAAATTCCCCCGGCAAAAAGCTTCGTGCGCCAAGTGGTTGGCGATTGCAACGATGAGTCGATTGGTGCCTTTGCCAAGACCACCATTTATTTTATTTGTTGAAAAAGAAGCAGTAAGGAGAGTAGATCTAGACGGGTTGAAAGTTCCCGCGTAGTATTTGCCTTACTTGCGGCTCGATCTTCGAGGGCGGATCCTGGCTTTTGCATCGACTTGTCGATGCTTCGACCTGCGGATGGGTTGAAACCTAAAGTTGCCAGGGGAACCCCACACAAATGGGGATACGATTTCGTATTCAACAGCCACTGCGTAAGGGAACCTCTGCATCAGGGCACCTCAACCTTGAATTGCGAGGGGAACCCCACACAAATGGGGGATACGATTTCGTATTTAACAGCCACTGCGTAAGTAAGGGAAAACCTGCACTAGGGAACCTCAACCTCGAATTGCCAGGGGAACCCCACACAAATGGGGATACGATTTCGTATTCAACAGTCACTTGCGTTAGTAAACCTCACCCCAGAGTTGATGGCAGCGCGTGAGGGTCTACCAGTCTGTCCGGGGATATAGTACCGATTTGGACATCCGGCAATATAGTTCCGGTTTGGACTATTGAAGCGCAGAGGGCTATTTTGGTGATCGACATCGCTCTATCGCCGTCCACGGTCATTGCATGACGTGCNCTCAACCTTGAATTGCGAGGGGAACCCCACACAAATGGGGGATACGATTTCGTATTTAACAGCCACTGCGTAAGTAAGGGAAAACCTGCACTAGGGAACCTCAACCTCGAATTGCCAGGGGAACCCCACACAAATGGGGATACGATTTCGTATTCAACAGTCACTTGCGTTAGTAAACCTCACCCCAGAGTTGATGGCAGCGCGTGAGGGTCTACCAGTCTGTCCGGGGATATAGTACCGATTTGGACATCCGGCAATATAGTTCCGGTTTGGACTATTGAAGCGCAGAGGGCTATTTTGGTGATCGACATCGCTCTATCGCCGTCCACGGTCATTNTTTGGTCTGCTGGCAGCGCTTTCCGCAGCAGACATGTTGGTGGGTCCGCTGATAAGTCCTCCAACCGGCGATTCCCGCCAAAGAGCTCAGTTTGGCTCGACTTGGCGGCACGTGGAAAGTGCGTTTTCTGGCGTCTGCGCTGAAAAGAGTTCTGCGCACCAAAAAAAAACGTTTCGGAAATTTCGGTCTGCAGCAAAAGTTGTGTTGCCGGANAAATGTCATGGGCTAACCGGGGATGCTGGAATGTCATCCCCGGGATATCAAAGATATCCGGCAATATGGCTCAAAACCCCGTTGTTGCTGCCCTCCCCTCTTGAGCAGCTCGGCAACCATGCCTTTTTTCTCCGAAGTTGTCAAATTCTT